GTGGATAGGGGTGAAGTTGTAGAACCGACGCCTGGACTGCCAAATTGTAATTGTGTTTGACCAGCTGGAAGAAGTCCATGTCTGGCTGCACATGATTTGTAGTGGCGGTTGAGATGAGTGGTATCAATTCCTTTTTGCCATGCCAATCTTTGTTGGCAATATTTACATACTACTTTAGATTCTGTAAGGCCATCAACGACTTTTTCCATTGAAATCAATTTAAAGTGATCCCAACATTTTGCTTGTTTTTTGACCTTTCGCTTTCCCCTCGCATCTGGGATATTTAATTGCTGATCTTCATCTTCATGTTCCGCTTAGGGAACGTTAATATCATCCAAATCAATTGGAATGTGGCTTCCCTGACCGTGAATGTGAACATCTTCAGGTATCGGTATGTCATTTAGACTGGCAAATTCATTTGAAAATTGACTTTGCGACGTACTAGGCGATTCTCCATGATGTGGCAATCGCTCACATCCTGTATCGAACAAGCTCTCAACAAATGAACATTGATCTATTTCTGTGATTGTTTATGATGAAATCTTGACTAGATGAATATAAATGTAGTGAGATTGTGAGAATTGAGAATTGGATGAATTGAAATTGTAACTAATAAACTGGAAAAATTGAATTGATATTGTATATTTTGCAGCACAAGAGAGTAAAAACTCGATAATTGATATAATAAAAGAGAGTTGAGACTTGAGAGAGTTGTAATCTTGGAAGAGATTGATATGAAAAAAAAATTTGGGGGAAGGGGGTATTTATAGTAAAAAAATTAGGGGGGGGGAGAAAAAAAAAGTTCAGTGACCGTTTGGTCATTGAAACGGTCACTGAACAGGCTCGTGGCTCATCCAAACGAGCCGCCCACGAGCGGCTCATCTACATCACGAGCCCGAGCAGCCCACGAGCCCTTTTTTCACGAGTCGAGTCGGCTCGGTCCAATGGACATCCCTACCGAAAACATCTGATAATTTGGTCATATATTATGGAAACATATTCACAATAGTGCAGAGCGGGTAAAATTACCATAACTGATCACATACTATGGAAACACATTCACACCAGTGTAGACAAGGGTAAAATCACCTGGGTACTTTTCGGCGGTTTTAAATAATAAGTTTAAATATGCTGAAATGTTTAATATTGAAATAATATGTCAAATTGTAATTATTACCTTTTTATCAGAAAATTATAGCCTGCTTCAGGATAGGCAGTTATAGTAGCCAATTAATAGGTTTGGACGGTACTGACATCAATTCTTCCAAGTATGTCTCAGTAATTGGGTGATCCGACAAGGTGTGAGGAATCTGCAATCATTATGTCTATTAAAATTACAACGGTCAAGAGACCGAGCCGAGCTCACAAACCCGTCTTACTATGTAGACAAGATGGGCGCTAAATATATTTTAAGTGAAATTGGTGGTCAACAAGAATAATAATTATGAATAAGCTAAGAGGAAATTACAATACATGATTTTAAAACTACAACTTTACTCTTCGAGTAATTTTTTGTTACAAATATACTATTTTCATTTTTTAACTTTTAGAATTCATTTAAAATTATAGCTATTGTTACCTGCACCTAGCTTCCACAACCACCTCATCCTTCCAACACCATCACACTGATCTCACGATGGAGATCTCACCATGATTTTCGTTGCAATGAGACATATATCTACTATTGCTCTTCATAATTGTAGTTTCACCAACATCATAACCATCGTACTAGACCTTCAATAGAATTCGGCTAAAATTTCTCAATTCTAAAATTTTTTTCTCATGTAAATTATTTTAGGGTTTGTGATTTCTTTTTTATTCTTGTTGGCAATGGTGGTGGAGATGGTAATGTAGTGATAATAGAGGTCAATGTTTTGTGACTTCTCTTGTTTCTTGGTGACGGGGATGGTGGCAGCATGAAATCTAGTCGCAATGGTGGTGGTGATCACTAGAGTTTTGGAGGTGGTGATTTATGGTTGAAGCAAGTGATGATGGTGGTAGTGTGCAGTTTGATTCCGAGCATGGTTGTGGTAAGAAGGATCAGCTAGGGTTTTGCAGGTGTTGGAGGCAAACTTCAGTGATTTGGTAGTGGTGGTGATGATGGTAGGTAGTGCATATTCAGTGGAGGTTGTCTTCACGGAGATGTGACCTAGTAAGTTAATAAGTATTAGACAAATGTTACTCTTCATAATGACATTAACGGTGGTGGTGACGGTAGCATTAACGGCATAGCACAGATTGTTAGGAGTGTTAAATGCATCAACGACGATGGTGATGTTTATGACGACGATATAAAACGGTTGGTTATAATTGTTATATAAGTATATTGTTGTCGATGGTAGTGAGGATGGTGACGACAACAATGTGTTCACTTTTGTTAAAAAAAGATAAATATATAAATAAATAAATAGAGAGAGAGAGAGAGAGAATATTTTGGGCAGAGAAAAAGGTTGGAAAGAATATTAGGTTATATATGAAACTTTATAAAGAGTTAACATTTTTAACCTAATGTTCATGGCCCAAAGCCCAACCGAATGTAAATGTCGACATCGAACTAGATCACTAATCTGTGCCCCATCTAAAGTGGATCCTTGAATTTTAAGTCCGTTAGAACTCCTTAATTGATAACAATTTTTTGCATCTTGATTAAGAACGTGACACTTTGGTACACATAATAGAATATCTTCCACGAACATGTCGAGCCAACACGTGTGCCATCTTATGTCGTGACTTTCAAACAAAGGAGATAACTAATTTAGTGGCATCAACATGAGTCAAGCTGCCTATTTCTTGTCCCAAAAAAAAAAAAAAAAAAAATATAATAATAATAATAATAATAATAATACATCATTTGACAATATTTGTTGAGAAAATATCCTTTTCATTAAAAAAAAAAATAGATTTTACATTTACCTCACTTCATAATTTTTTGAGACATTCCTCCTTTATATTTGAGATCAACTTTTCAATTTTTAATTAAAAATCAACATTTTTACGAGATGGCTATATATTGAGTATTACTATATTACTTGTAGAATAAATTTTAAAATAACTTTTTTAATCCAAAAATAACACTTTAAAGTAACATATATGTTATCGTATGTTACTTATTAATAAAAAATAAATAAAATTAATTCTCTACGAGTGAAATGTTGTGTTACCATACGTTACTTGTGTAACTTATTTTTTTTTAAGTTGTGTAGCAACGTATTACTCTAGTCTTAAACCCTAACACCACACCTCGCTGCCACCTTCTACTACTACTAGTAGAGTCAGAATTCTGCAATCTCACCATTTCCCACTTATTTCACCAACCAACGCTACCCCAATCACCTTGATGACCACAATCATCACCTATTGTCGCTCACCACTATAATCGTTTCCCTGCACCAACCATTACCAACCACATACCATTTTCTTTCAAACACCGCCTTTGTAACCACCATAATGCTCGGACTCAAGCTCCGAAGCCATAACACCAATCACATCCAAATCATTAACAACCTAAGCACTGTTGTTCACAACTACAATCCATCCACTACTCACTACTTTTGTTTTAAAAATAGAGGGCTTCTTTATTCTCTATGTAGCACCATACGAGTACTCTCTTCCATCCTGTCTAGGCAGACAGAATACTGGTAGCAAATGGTAACATATTATGTTAGACATAGGTAATAACAAATTACTCGGCCACTATACCAACCCAACCACCAATGTTGGAAAAAAGTTGAAGAGTAGAAGGAGAAGAATGAGGCTCAAGCATGTATGTGATATGCTATCCTAAAACGATATTTGCCTCCTCTCTATGATTTAGGATTTTCGGTAAAGAGTTCATATGATTGACAAGCTTTTAAGGAAGAAACAAGTTCACGAAATTATTGTTCAATCAAAAGTTACCGCAAGTGCATGGTTAGAGAATTCTGGCCTCAGTTCATCAATTAGGGAGCCATGCATGTACACATGGGTTAAATTTACTTCCCATTCCAATTCATCAATTTGGACCCAAATAAATCCCCCTTCATCCGTAGTTTAGGTACAAAAGCTTAATATAATTATGAACATTGATATAACACAATGCTCTCCACCGGAAACCATAACACTGAACATGGAAAAGGCTGGTCATTTCATACCGCAGTAATGGACTGGGCCAATATAGGTCCATTCAGATGTTCCAGCATTGACACAAAATCATAGATGGATTTTGTCTAAATATTAACAACTCTGCAAAATTGATATCATCGGCAGAAACGGCCAAGAAAATAGGTTCCTTTTTAACTTCTAATATTATATATATTCGAATTAATGCAAATGCTTGAGATCGTTACAATTGCAACAAAGTTGCCAACTAATGAATTAAATAAAGATAACATTAGTACAAAAACAAGAGAGTGTCAAAGATTAGGTTCTAGTTATTAACACCCAACTAAGTTTGACTCGTAAACTCCCCAAACTATCTTCTATACATGAATATATTTCTATATTCATATTCTCGAACCATTTCATAACAAGTTCGTTAACCAACGCAGAAGCTTTAATATGCTATTACTTTTAACTATTCCGATAACAAATAAGAATCACGTCGTCTAAAAGCTTACGCTGGTAGAGAGAAACAAACTTTATTTATTTAGTCCCTTTTTAATTTGTGGAGATTAAGAGGAGATTTGTAATAGATTTTGATTAAAAAATAAAAAATAATAAAAAATTGATGAAATGTGTAGTTGAAAAGTTACGGTGGAATGAAATGTGTAATTAACATTAATTGTTGACTTTGACTTGAGATTTTAAGCAGATTAATCTAATTTACGCCAAACAAGTGTTTAATGTATGTTTTCTAAACATTGTGTCATGTGAAACATTGTGTCATGTGAATAACCTATGAATACTAATATACGATTTTCATAAACAATTGTCCATGAGACTTAATTTCAATGTTTTAGATTGTTGTGATACCACATTGAATTTACTCATTTAAAAACTAGAGAGGACAAACTTATTTATTGTCATGTCTCCAACAATATACATATTCACACTAAAAAATTCTGCCGGCGAATAACAGCTAATCCAACTTAGGTGCTTTGTCAAGTTCACCACTCCATGTCTTCTACTCTTTGCTATTACCACCCTGCAGAATCATGCAATTTTCACAACCCTCTTTTTCCACTCTCATTTTCTATCTCTGCTCTCCATTAACATTGCTTTAAATCATCAAAAACAAGCTTAGGATCCTCCAAGAAACCTCCCTATCATGGCTTATACTTTGCGAAAATCATTTTTTGTGTTCTTTGCCTTGTTACTCTGTGCCATTACAGCATTATCTGATGATGAATCCTATGCTAAAATCCTCATAAAGTTCAAGAGCTCTCTCTCCAACACATCCATGCTGAATAACTGGATTGAACCAGTGGAAAACTTGTGCAGTGGCTATAAACCTAGCTGGACAGGTTTAGTTTGTGATAATGGTACATTTACAGGTATAAAGCTTGAAAGCATGGGGCTAAAGGGCACAATCGACGTCGATTCACTCACAGATTTGCCATTGCTGAGCCTGAGTTTGATGAACAATAACTTTTCAGGGCCATTTCCTTATAATGATTTAAAGAAACTTGGGAAGTTAAGAAGTTTGTATTTGGCTAATAACAGATTCAATGGTGATATTCCAGATGATGCTTTTTCAGGGATGAAGTCTATGAGGAAACTTGTGTTGGGATTCAATGAACATACTGGTAAAATTCCAATGTCTTTACTGAGATTGCCAAGGCTCGTAAATTTGCTGCTTCAAAATAACCAGATTGAAGGGAGAATACCAGACCTTTGGCAGAAGAATTTGACTGTTAATTTTGCTAATAATAAGCTTGAAGGTCCAATACCATCCACACTTAGTAGCCAGAGTGCAAGCTCGTTTTCGGGTAAGTCGTGATCAACTTGAATTCTCATATCTATATCTTCAACAATTTCCATTGTTGTATAGGTTGAGTTCAATTTTTTTTTTTTTTTTTTTTTTAATTCGTGTCTTCGAATTTAAGTCGCTAAAGGTAAAGATTTTGAGAACTTTTATGTTCTCGTTCAAAATCCAAGAAAAATAGAATTGTTATTTATCTAAAATAACAGTGAAGATAATTAGTTCATGAAAAATATGCATATTTCACAATCCATTTTATGTAAAAATTAAATAAATTCGTAAATAAAAGAAGGAAACAAGTATAACAATATAAAATAATAGATTATATATATCCAAAATATAGATATATATGTCGTCATAGAAATTATCTATAAGTGGCAGGCACGTTGTTTACTAGGTGGCAACTAATGCAAAACTCAAAAAGTTGACAGCCACTTTCTTTAATTATACCAAAACTAAAACCCTCTTTTCTCCTTTAATTAATTACTAATGGTGCATGCATCATTTTCTTTTTCTTTTTTTCTTTTTTTTTTTTCTTTTTTTTGATAATTTCTCCTTAATTTTTCTGTTTCTTAATA